GGTGTTCAGCTCCACGTTCACTGGCAGACTGGGGTGATTCCCATTGCCCAAGGCAAGGAGACTCACATTCACCAAAGCTATCCTATCCTACTCCTACACCTAGTGGCCATCCTGAAGCATCTCCTCCCTCTTTGGGGAAGCTGTCTGGGACCACAGACACAGTTACCTGAAAGCCCCCCTCAAATTGGACGTAGGGTGAAGAACATGAAAAATTACTCATGCAATTGATTCACATGGTTTCCATCATTCATAAATTGCTATGCATAAAGGGGAGGCACTGGATTTGCACGTAACCGATCCAGACAGCTGCAGATTTCCATAGGCCTGCCTGCAGGCAGAAGCCGCTCTTCACGTAATCCTATTAAACAGCTGGAATTAATGAAAATGCTGTGCGATTCAGCATGCTAACAGCAGCCACCTCTGCTTCCACCACTGGTAGTGCAGGGTTCTCTCCAGTTCAGCCTCTTCCCGTGGGTCCAAATTACAGGAGCTATTTCATGCCCTGGACTCTGCAGGAAGCCTGGAGGACATGCAAGGGTGAGGCTACAGTAACGGAAGGCTGCCCTTGGAGAGTGCTAGGAACACATCCAGGCGCTCCATCACAGTCTGTCTCCTCATGGTAAGATGCAGCTTTTGGGAATATCACTGCAGAACACACAAGCCTTCTCATCAAAGGAAATCAGTACGCTGGAGATGGAGTACAGAAGGAAAATCAACACGTGGCCATCTCCAAAGGCAAGGTGGTGGAATTCATACAAAATATGACTGCTAGTAGGCCCAGCTCCAGATCAGAATCAAAGGCTCAGAAGTCAGGAGGAGCTCAGGTGGAAGCTGTTTGCCATTTAAGGCCCTTCATGGCATCCAGCATTGTATCACATCACAGCAGATGAGAGGAGTCAGCACAAAACCACAGCGTTAAGTAATTTGAAGGAGGCATCATTAATCCTTCACCTCCTAGGGAGGGCCAGACAGAGATGCCAGCCTAACTGAGCTCTGCCCCCTCGCGTAGCAAGACTTGCTTAAAGCATCCAGCAGAAGATGACACTGAACAAGGCTTGTGCTATATGCATAGGCAATTATGGTCTGCCTTCCACAGCTCCAGAAACTGCCAGCTCACTCTTAGTGCTTGCCAGTCACATTTGATCACTAATACATAATATCTCCTACAACTTCATGGAATCTGGAGGGTCTCTCAGTGAAGATGAGCTACAGCTGCTTGTTCTCAACCAGCTCAGTCCCGGATTCCGCTCGCTTGCCACAGCTCACTGATACCGGGAGAAGAAAGAAGATGGGAGGGAAGACTGTCCTCCCCAGGACCTCGTAGGAGCACTGATACAGAGCATCAGCATGCACTCCGCTGTGGTGCAACCCAGCTGTCTAGAAGACACAGGGTTTTTTCATCCTTGCTCAGTGTGCACCTCCCTGGCCCTGCAAGAGAAGAGCAAGGATCCCTGTCGTCACCAGTCCCCTCCACCCCACAGCTGGATCTATTCCAGGAGCAGCGGAATGCAGTCATGTAATTAGCGACTATCACAACGCATAAGCAGGGCCAGATCGAAGATGCAAAAGCAACTCTGATTTTGACATTTCCCAGACTTAATAAAATGACTTTGCACAGGGAATGAAGACAACTTCTTCCCCTGACGAGCTGTTTGTGCCCTCTGTGTAGCAAACAGCCTCGTGTCAGGAGCGTGCCTGTCTTTGAAGTGGGAGGTTGCAGTTTGACAAAAGCAGGGAGCAAAGGGGAGAGGGGATGGAGCTGCTTTCAGGCACTTGCCAGGATTTAACAGTGCCAGTAAGGTCTCCCTGCATTAGCCTTGCTCAGAGGCAGCAACACCCTTTTTTGGCTCAGGCTCTGAAAACACTTCCCAGCCCCAGGCAGACCAGCGTCAGGAAAAACTCCAGCCCAAAGAACTGCAAACTAGAAACCAGTTTAGGTTTCCCACAGCAGTTAAGCCAGGCCTTGCCAGGAGCACCTCTGGGCACAGGCAGGAAGCAGGGTCACCAGCACCATGGAAAAGGGAAGGTACCAGAAATGGGAGGTGGCTCATTTATTGCAGAAGGACACTTGTGCCGGGTCAGAAAGAGGACTCGGTGCCCAGGCATTTGCTCCAGTGTCTGCTGGTTTTCACCACCACCTGCTCCTCCAGCAGATGCCCAGGACGGGGGATTAGCTTGGGAGGAGACCCTGAGGGAGCTGTAGCAAACCCCTTTCCCTCCCACTATTAGCAGAAAGGATGAGCAGGGAGATCTGCCCCCTGCTCGCCTCACTCAGGGAGCAGATTCCCGTGCCAGCTCTGGATCAGCAGAAAGAAAAATGCAAGAACTTTCCAGAAGGGCTGCCCCCATCAAAGAGCTTGCAGCTATTCAGCTATAGTAACAACCCTGCAGCAGCAGATCTGCTCCCCGTCCTGTCAGTCATCCCTCTGCAGCCACACCAACACCACAACTTTTAACCCATCAAATGCCAGGGCTTCCCTACATGGTGCACACCTGTACTTTAATACTAACCTTGCACAAGATTAAAACCACCACAGAGCAGCATTGCCTAGCATGGAGGTCATCAAGCTGTACTCATTCCAATTCCCCTCCAGATTTTGCACAGACCTGCAGTACAGTGGGGAGCAAACCTTCACCCACTCTTCATGCACCCACAAGAGAGGACAGAGCTCCCTCACCAGCAGACACTGAAGACCTGAGAGAAGGCAAATCCACTGGTAAAAAGGGGTATTAACAGGGTCTAGAAGACTGAGGAAGTTTAGTAAATGTAGTATTTAAGGTAGCCCAGAAAACATAACTCAGTTCCTAATGTACCCTTCCTCAAACAAAGCAACCAGTGTGTGACAATTTCTTCTCCATGCTCAAATATACACGTGGCCTCACATCCACATTTCACTCGTTATCTGGACGCTCAGAAGTCGTGCAGTACACACACCACTCCTGAGATATGTCAGTACGATGGAGGCTGTGGAACTACAATGCTGACAGGGAGGTGATGCTGTCACGGTTTAACCCCAGCCAGCAACTAAGGACCACAGAGTGGAATGGGGAAGAGAACTGGAAGAGTGAAAGTGAGAAAACTCGTGGGCTGAGATAAGAAAAGTTTAATAATTGAAATAAAATACAGTAAAATAATAATAATAAAATAATATAAAAAGCAAGTGATGCGCAATGCAATTGCTCACCACCGGACGACCAATGCCCATCCCATCCCCGAGCAGCAGTCACTGCCCCCCAGCCAACTCCCCCCAGTTTATATACTGAGCATGACATCATATGGTCTGGAATAGCCCTTTGACCAGTTGGGGTACGCTGTCCTGGCCGTGTCCCATCCCAGCTCCTTGTGCACCTGGCAGAGCAGGGGAAGCTGAAAAGTCCTTGACTGGTGTAAGCACTGCTGAGCAACAACTAAAACATCAGGGTGTTACCAACATTATTCTCACACTAAATCCAAAGCACAGCAGTGTACCAGCTACCAGGAAGAAAATTAACTTTATTTAACTAATTAATTTCCCAGCTGAAACCAGGACAGATGCAAACATGTCAGCCCAGTTTTTGTTTTACTCAGCCAGGAGGAAATTGAGAGTGCCAAGATCCTTAAATTTTTTGTTTCCCTAGCAGGAACCACAGTAACAAAAAGATACTGTCAGCACCACAAAGAAAAAGCTTGCATCCAGCACAGAGATTCATACTTTGTTTTTACTTACTACTGGCTAGGCCGGATGAGTACAGTTCACGGTGTCCTTTCATATCAAAGGTGCCCCACTGCAGGAATGGCACAGCTGTCATGAAGGAATGGGGTATTATCAGATGAGGAACCAGTATTTCCATGACTGGTGACAGCTTCACATGCTGAGGCTGGCTTTGACCTCACCAGGTCTGACTGCACATGTGTGACTGAAAGGTCACAAGATTGGAACAGGCTGCCCAGGGAAGTGGTCGAGTCCCCATCCCTGGAGGTATTTAAAAGACAGGTAGATGACGTGCTTAGGGACATGGCTTAGTGGTGGGATGGCAGTGTTAGGTTAATAGTTGGGCTTGATGATCTTAAAGGTCTTTTCCAACCTAAACAATTCAATGATTCTAAGATCAATGACAGAAGGTGGCACAATGGGTCAGAGAGCAAGGGAAAGGGGGAACTCATCGATATATTCCTCTGGGCTTATTGCTAGTAGACCCTTTTACAACCACACACTAGATGTTGAAAAATCAATCACGATTCACATGAAACCTTATCTGCCCCACTAGTCCTAGACATGCAGGGCAAACAGCCAGTGGGAAGTTTGGGAAGACAATCCAAGGAACTTCACAGATCTAGAAGTGATAAATAAAACCCAAAATATTCCCCCAAGAAAAAAAAAAAACAACGCATTTCACCAACTACACCTGCTTCTGCCATCAGCAGAGAATACAGCATACACACTACCCGAAGGACATGCACTGTCACAGCATGCTCTCCAGGTGCCGTCAGAATGAGGACAGGTTGTAGACCTTCATGAGCTAGGAAGTGCTCCTACCAATTGCTCTTAAAAGTTGCTTTTCCCTGGTCATCCCTAGCTCCTACACAGAATCCCACAGACACTGAATTAACAGCTCACACCATCAGAGCTCCAGGAACAGCACACTCTGTGTTCAGGGCAAGCCCCAGAACCAACTCACTTGCAGCACTGCCTTCACCTTTCCTTCTGTTGGCACTGATAGAGGATGCGTATTTATTCTTGCACATCTCAACTTCTCTGCCCTGTCCAACACAGCTGAATGAGCACTACTCGAGATCTGCTACTCTGCAAGGTTTCTCTCCATTTTTTTTTTTTTTTTTTTTTTTTTAATTCTTAACCTCACTGGTTCACCCACTGACTCTCCACGTGGTGAACACCACCAGCAGCCATCTGTAAATGCCACAACAGAGAGCTGCCAGTCGATGTCCACCATACGCCCCTGTCACAGCACCACAGCAGCCAAATGCTTAGCCGAGACTGGGTAAAGAATAACTTGTTTACCATCCTTCTCAGGGCCCAGCAGTAAAGGCACAACATCCTCCCCTGAAATCAGGGCCATCGCAAACACAACATGCTTTTTGAAACCATGCCTTCAGCCACAAAACTGACTAAAAACTCTAGCAAAATAACCTAAATTTCAAACTTCCAGTACTAGAAGACGTCGAGATATGACAGTGGCAAGGACATTACCGCTGGGTTCCTGCTCTGTCCTTCCTTCCATCACCCCCCACCATGATTTGTTAGACACTCCCCTGGAGAGGACAGCCCTTCAGGTGCAGTAGCAGGCACATCCTCCGGCCATCCCCTCTCCACTGCAAATGAATTAATGGGAACATTCAAAATTGTCCTTCAGACAACTGAGTGGTCCAGCACTCACCTGCAACATGTGCTGCAGAGATGCACCAAGCAATTTCCCCGGGGTGTAGAGCATGGCTGCTGCTGCCGCCCTCAACATTTCGCCTCCCTTTCCCCAGCCAGCAGGAGCTTGGAGCTCTTCAAGAAAGGATTTTCTTGCAATAGCAAAGGGTAAGTGTTTTCTGCTATTAAAAAACAGCTGGGTTTCTCTGAATCCCGCAAGACAGAGACAACATATGGAAAGCTTTGCTCTAGGAGACAAGAATGGAATGGGTAGGCAACGCTAACTAAACCAGCTGCAACACCTGACGCATCGACTCACATGCAGATAAGAAAAGAGTAAAGGGATGCTGCAGTCAGGCTCTGGCACTTGTCATCCCAGGAGGCTATGGATGCCAAAAGCTTATCCAGGTTCAGAAAGAAAGCAGATGGAAGACAAATCTATCCAAGATGATTACAGACAATGACCCATCTCTGGCCCAGGGACTGTGGAGTCTACTACAGTCGGGGAGACTTTTTGGACTTACCACTTGTTCTGCCCTGCTTTCCTACACCTCCCTTAGCATTTGCTCCTGGCCCAGTGGAATCAGGCTACTGAGTTTGTTTGGGAAAATCAGCCATTCTTAAGTATTAGCAGTACATTTCTAAGGGATCATTTGAGCTTTAGCAAAGCTCCAAATGCAAAGGAGCAGATTTATAAAAGGCCTGTAGAAAGTATGTTCCAAGTGCTTATCCATACCTTTAGGCTCCCAACTAACTTCTGAACTCTGGTCTGAACTGCCTTTGGTGGAAAAGGAGAATTTTTATAGAGCATCTTTAATAACAGGGCAGGATGTAATCACCTCTCTGGGATGTTTCTAGAGAGAAGTCACAGTAAAACATGCAGTCTGTCGGGCACTGGATGACAGGGCAAGGTATGTAATCAGGGAGGGAATAACACAGTTACCAGCTGGGAAACTACTGAACATGCAGAGCCACGGATCAGTCTCCATGGCTGGAAAGCTCCCCTGATTCCCCCCACGAACAGTTCTATTCTGACCCAGCCCAGAGAGCGACAATAACAGGCTGTATTGCTCCTGCCAAACCCCAAGGCACCATGAACACTCTCAGAAATGGAGGGGGTGTTCAGAAGAGCTTGCTTTGCAGGGCCCAATGTCCAGGCAGCGAGAGGGCCAGAGAGAAAATGCAAGGCTGAAATCACCCCCAGACACATTCAGCTCGTTCAAAGCTTCCAGCAGGGGGATTTAGCCGGAGCTTAAAGCAGTTCTCTGTGACTCTTTGTCACAGGAGTGTAGGTACAAACAAACAGGAGCTGGGACAAAGGGAGTCAACACACATTTTATTAGTAAGAAGTTAATCGGCTTAAAGTGTGCAACTAAATAAGCAAAGCTTACATTAAAGTGACCCGCCAAGAAAAGATGCCATGGAAATAAAGTTATAGGAAATACAATATAGTCTCTATGTTCTTTTGTAATCCAGCATGATAAATATTCATGATTCTGGGTTAATGGGGTACCCAGCTCTCAGCCACAATAGTTTTTTGTTTATTCTCAAGACCATGAACTTTGGAACCATGAACCTGAATTTCAGGACTCTGCATTCATGCATGTTAGCAAAATTCGGGGCAGGGCAGGGGGATGGAGAAAACGCCAGGACCTTGGCTTGCGACAGTGTAACGGAGGTTGCTGGCAGGTTTTTGGTAATGAGTAACAAGAGCCCCAGGATGCGCAGGACTTGGGGTGTACCCGTCACCCTCCCTGCCTCCCCACCAGCGGCAGAACGAGAGAAGAGGCACCACCTGCAACACAACCCCATCCCTCACCTCCAGCCTCTCCAGGACGTGGCTTATTGCATAGTTTCTCTCTCCAGAGGACAAGGGCACCCTCGGGCCAGCAGCAGCCGCCTGCATTGCACCGCAGCAGCACGGGGCAGAGCAGAGGTCCGCTCCTTACACAGGAAGGAGGACCTGTACACCCCTGAACACAACCCCTTGAGCCTTCATATTGATTGAATGGGCGTTTTGGCATTCTGAAAACACTCCTGCAGGAAGAGGTGACCAAGCTCCAGCCCAGCATTCACGCCGGATAGCAAATGTCCTTCCAAAGTGTATTTTAGAGTCCCAGGCCTCCCTAGCCAGCCCCACATCCAGTTGATCCTTTGACGGTGCCACCTTCTGATGATAGCAACATTGCCAGCTTTCCCAGTTTTGCTACGAGACCTTCCAAGGTCTCTACTCCCAGCTGTATTAATGTGTACAGATTACCAATCCCCCTTTCAAGGTGTGTTAGGAGTCTTTGGGGGTTAATGAAGGACATGAGGAAACTTTAAAACCAAAACCAACCAAACAAAAAAAAACCCAAAAAACATAGAAACTGAAAGTTCAAAGCCTTGAAAGTAATACAAGGAGAACAACTTTAAATGCTGAATCGAATGCATTTTAAGACTCTCAAACGTGTTGGTGTGTTTCCCCATATCCGCTCACAACTAAAAGCAAAGACTACGATCCGGTGAGGTCTTCAGGAGCTCCCTGGTGTACTTTATACTGAACCATGAAAGCAAAGCTTCCAACAGCCCGGCGCCAAACAGCCAGGCTCTGCTGTGCTGAGAGCCAGGAGCACAGCTCTCCTCCCCACATCACTGCGGATCAGCCTGCTTGGTCTGCAGAGCTCGTATCCTTCCCTGACCCCTCAGGGTTTAATTGCCTCTTTTAGGGAAAGGGCAGCCTAACATTTGTAAATTAATAGGATCTGTTCTTCACACGTCTTCCTTTAGGACAACTTAGATGACAAAGCTTGCCACAGCGAGCTTTATTTCTCCCCTTGGGCAGAGCCCCTCGCTCTGACCAGCTGAACCCGAGCAGCAATAGGACAGGCAGTGCAAAGGCCAGCCGTTCTTCAGAAGACAGCTTCTTGTAACAATACCAAAGTCTAAAAGAAATGGCAATGCTCCCTGAGATTTTAAGTCTTTGATGCTTCAATCACAATACTTCTACACAGGACTACCATAAAATAGTCATACATAAAGAGGAGGAATTTAGAAAGAAGTTGAGAAATTAATACAAAAGCTGAAAGTCTACTTTTGGAAGGAAAACTATTTCTCCAACTAGTGAAATATCAGCCTTGAATTACAGAAAGGCTGTCTAAAAATCAAATACGTTAGTAAACAGCAACAGCCTTCTCAAAACTGAGGCATCCTGCTCAGAAAGCATGTATATAGCATTTACCTTTGTAATATTTTATCTTTACAATAGCCCCATTAGCATAAAGATGCCTGTCCAGAGGAAGGAATACACAGATGTGCACAGGAGGAGGGGAACTCGTTGGGAAAAAACCACTTTCCCCATTCCCTGTGTGGAATTTTACACAGAATGTCCTGTTCCTCCTGAAAAGGGGGACACCCCCATGCCCTCCCACCCAGCTCCAAGGACATGCCTCTTCCCCTCACGCTTGCCACATTCTACCTCCATAAGGACGAGCCGGTGGGACAGCCCCAACTCGGCAGCTCCTTCCATTTCACACCAAGCAGAGGTATGAAATGGGTAGGCAGCTATGAAATACACAGGCACTGCCAAACCATCAGGATCCAGCCACCGACACTGCCCAGGAGGACAGAAGCAGCTGGCACACTTGATGGTTTGAGGGTCCCCATTTCACGCATGCTTGCAAACCCCATGGCAAACTCACCTCTGCCAGGAGATGAGGGATTGCACAATGGACAAAGAGGGCAAAAGAACAGAAAATGCTCTTCTCAATGTCAAGATAAAAAAAGAGGGCAGCCAGGAAGTTTTACTCCTCATGTCAACATCCCATTACTAACCAGCAGTTTACCTTGACAACAAAGCTTTCCAAGAAAAGGCAGAGACTTGGGCACTCGAGCAATGGCCTTAGGAGATCCCACTCTGCCCAGGAAACAGCAAAAAACACCCCAGCGTATCACATATCACCTCCTTACTGAAGCATGACAAAGAAGAGAATATATGGCAGAAGAGGCCAAAGAGGGGAAAAGCAGAAATCAATAGGATCTAACAGAGCGTGACGGAAAATCACTTCCCCCATAAAAGGAGGTTACTTGCCAGGTTAATGAATCTTTTCTGTTCTGTACTTAGACACCCAGGAAATGGAAGGGGTCAGAGGAGCAGTGTGGGTGGGAATGCAATCCCTAGAACATGCTTTCAAGAACAATCAAAGGTTAGAGATTAAACCCAGGCAGCGGTCAACTGCACAACACATCAGCAGCTTGATACGCAGGCCAGCTGCAGCTCAGATCAAAATACACTGCCAACGTCAACAGCACAGCAAATAACAGGCTTCTCCCCGCTGCAACAACCAGCCCCCCAGGCCACCCTGGCCCCCTGAAGGGTCAGCCCCAGGAGTTGGAGCATCTCTGCCTTCCCAGGTCAGCGGTGCCAGCAGGGACAAAACAAACTGGTCTGTAAGTCTCTGAATAACTGCAATAGGACCACAAAAAACAGCCCACACTGGAACTCACACTGTGCAAATAACTCAGAAAGCTCTTGGTCCAGCGGCCAAGACTTCCCAAAACTCACTTTTAGGTAAAGACCTGTGCCTTACTCTTGTCAGAAATGCACAGGCAGCAAACAAAACAACAGAGAAGTGTCTGGACAATGGCAGGGTGCAAGATCTGGTTGCCACAGAAGCCTGAACCAGACCTCTGGAGCATCACACACTTCCAAAGCCAGGTGGA